CTCTACAGAGCCTTGTACATAGTAGGTGCTTAATAAAATAGTGTCTACTTGTACATATTGTTACTCACAACAACCAGACTATTACAACCTTTCCCCCCTCTCATTTGTATTACTGCAATGGACTTCTAATAGGTCTACCTCCCTCAAGCATCTCCCTACTTCAATCCAACTTCTACTCTGTGGAACTGATTTTCCTAAACCATGGCTTTTATCATTTAACTCCACCACACAATAAACTCCAAAAACAACTTATTACTTCCAGGGTTAAATATAAACTCTTCTGCCTTCACAACCTAGTTCCAACCTACATTTTCCAGCTTTATTACACATCACTTCCCTTCATGCTCTCTTGGCATTACATCTCCTACTTCTCTGCCATCACCTATTCCCGAATGTAATTGCTTCTCCTGTTGGGTCCCTTAAGTTTTCTTGAAAACTCAGCTCAAGCATCCCATTTGACATGGTCATTTACACTTTAGGAAGATCAATCTGACAACTAAATGGGGGACAGACTGGAGTTGTAAGAGATTTGAGGCAGGGAGAATAACCTGCAGGCTACTGCAATAGTACAGATGTGAGGTGATGAAGGCCTGTACCAGGTTGGTGGCAATGCCAGAGAAGAGAAAGGGATGTAGATGAGACATACTAAGAAGGAAGAACTGGCAAACCTTGGCAACAGATTAGATTTGAGGGATTAAAAGAGAGAGTGAGCAGTCAAAGATGACACCTATATTGTGAGTTTAAGTGATTAGAACAGCAGTACTCTTGACACTAATAAGGAAGTTAGGAATGTCTATGGGACATCCAATTCAAGATATCTAATAAATAGCTGGAGAATTGAGTCTGGAGTTCAAGAGAGAGGTAAGGGCTGTACAAATAGATCTGACAATCATCTGCATACAGAAGGTACCTGAATCTATGGGAACTGATGAGATGAAGTGAGAGGAAAAAGGAAGAAGGCACAAGAAAACCTTAGGGAACACACATGGTTAACACATGTATATATACTTTTGTATATGCTTACATGTGCGTATTTTGTCTCCTGAAATAATGTCAACGCTTTAATTGCACTGTTTCTTTTTGGTCTTTGTATTCCCAGAGCCTAGCACAATATCTGGCATTTGATGTGAACTTAATAAATATTAGACTAATTGATTCCTCATCAGAAATTCTTCTCTGTGTATTTGTTCTTGAGCTTGACCCATTCTTCCTCCACTAATTTTTCTCTGAACCCTGTTTTTCCAAAATGCGTGCCAATGCATGCCAGACTATGATTGGTTTTCCTCTTCTGTATAAAAAATTCTAAGATGAAGGGCTTACTTCTCTTAAGGCTCCCAACATTTCTACTTCAGGAATCAATTCCTCCTTGCTTTTCAGACACAGGTCCAGAACAGTACTTCCCTCAATTTCCTCTAGGCTACCAAGGACATCCTAATCATAAGAGATTGTGAGTATATTGGAAGTAACACCTAGACTGAGAGACAGAAAGATCCAAGTTGTACCAGTACACATAATCTAGTAAAATGTTCCGAGCTTCAATTTTCTTAACTGTTACCAGGAAAGTATATATGGAGTTGTTGTGAAGAAAGCTCTTTGCAAATCATAAAAGTACTTTATAAATGTGAACCATTATCATGGCAAGCAAACAATTTATTACACCTTTAAATATGTTGCTCAACCAGCTACTCATCCACTAACTATAAATATAGTAGTACTATTTCTATTTCTTCTGTTAAAGAGAAAAATCTCTAAGCTAGAAAGTATAGGACTAATATCATTAACTGAAGTTCAAAATAGGCAGTGTATCTAGTTGCTTTAAATGAGTTCAAGTCTCTAGGTGAAGCCTGCACAAACTGTGGCCTGCCAAAGGATTTTGGGTGGCCCACATGCCACAGGTTGTACAGGCCTGCTCAAGGTCCAGATGATCCCACAGTACTGAAAAAACTGCCAGTTCTCACCAGTCAGCCAAGAGAGGTACTCAATGAAGAAAATGGAAAATGGGTTTACAGACTCCTGAAGCCCAAAGATGAGAAAATGTTTTATTTTTCAAAAAGTTAGAAGTGACTTTCAGAAACTAGAGCCTCATGAACTTGACCATGAACCCAGACACAATTCTAGAATATATTAAACAAATGGTTGAACAACTTACAAATAGAAGCAATGATCACTAGGAGCCAGCATGGATTTACTAAAAACAACTCTTGTCAAACTAGTTTCATTTGCCTTTTTTTTTTTAAGGGTTACTAACTAGCAGATGTTGAGCAATGGAATGATGCTAACCTGAAAGAATCCTCTAGTATAGAGCTGTCAAACACACAACCACACTCCTAAGTGCAGCTGAACCAGATTAAGATGTAATTGGGAAACATTTAACAAAATAAATAAAAACATAATAAGACAGATAACATTACATTTTAAAACTAAGTTAATATTTGGCCCTGAAAAATACTAAAATACAGATTAATGGTCCCCGTTTTATCTGAGTTTGATACTATTTGCTATGGTGGATTGTTGCAACAATCCCTCCTAAGCCCCGTTCTGTTATACAATGGCAAAAAACTGTTAAGCCATGTGAAAGGAAGAGAATTTTTTAAAATAGTGTATTCTAAGCTTGGGTTGGAAGGAATACATAAATCCATGAAGGCAGAAAAGGAAAGGTTGAGAATAAGTCTAATTAGTCTAGTCTGAGTCCTAGAAGGGAATAGGATGAGATAAGGTCAGAAATAAAACTGGAGCCAGAATGTTGAGGGCTTTGAATGTTAGGCTAAGGAGTCTGTATTTTAGCCTACTGGTAATGGGGAAACAGATTGAAGATTTCTAAGGAACATAATTAGATCTGTATATCAGAAAGATTACCCTGGCAGCTGTGTGAAAGATAGATTTCTGCACACTGCCTGGCACATGTGTGGACTGATTGACAGACTGAGGAATGGAGAAGCCTTGCATTAAGGAGACCAATTTTTAAAGCTATAAAAGTCTGGTGGAAATAAAGATCTGAACCAGAGTGGCAGCATGAATGGAAAGGAGATGGAAGCATGTTGTTCTAGATAATCTAACGTCTCTTTCAGCTCTAATGCTAATTTATGAGTCTACAAGATATTTTAGAGGTTGAATCAACAGGGGCGGTACCTGATCTGATATAAGAGGATGAGGGAAAAAGAAAACCATAGATAACTCACAGCTTAAGAACCTGGAAAACCTAGAAATATGATGGTACCATGAATAGAAACACCAAAGCTAAGAGAGAAGGGAAGCTGGTGAAAGTGGGAGTAAAGAGAAGAGTTATGCTAAATTGGAAGTGGAGGACATCCAGGTGAAATTACAATCCCAGACACCTGGAAATGCATGTTGGAAGTTTAGGAAAGAGACTATGGCTGTCCTGATGTGTGAAGTCACAGAAGCAAATAAGATCACCAAAGACATCTGCATTTGGGGAGTTTAAAGTGGACATAAAAAACCAAAAAACTGTTCCTCTTAAAAAAATTTTTTTAGAGGGTCCAGTTAAATAAATTGATTATGGCTGCAGTTTAAAACAACAATTGTGTTTTAAAATATCAGATTCAGATTTCCAATGGAAAACACATTTTAAAAAAAACCTCACTTCTGTTCTTTCCTCCATACCATCTTAACCCTTCTGAGATTTAAAAGACCAATTTTGTTTTTTTCTTTTCATCTTCCTTCTCAATCAATGGACCTGAAGAAGTGACAGCTCAAACTAAAGTTACTGAGCTGCTTAAAACTAAAGTGATGGGAAAAAAACCCCAAAAACCTAGGTTATTTTTGAATATAAAAGCTACTTGGTATCTATTTATATTTCATTGTTAGAGAAAAGAACTTTTCACCTTCAAAAAAGTTAAAAGATATAAATGTATAGGTAACTATTATCTTTGTCAGTTAATAAACATTTATTAAGTGCCTACTATGTGCCAGAGAGCACTGTGATAAGCATCAGAGACACAAAGAGGCAAAAGACAGTCCTTGCTCTCAAGGAGCTCACAATCTAATGTGAGAGAAAACATGCAAATAACTACTTATAAACAAGCTATATATAGGATAAATAGGAAAAACCAACACAGGGCAAGTACTAGAATTAAGAAGGATTGGTAAAGGCTTCCTGTAGAAGGTGTAGAAAGCCTGTGTCACTGAGTGTGATGAAAAAAGAAGACTAGAAGAGTATGGGATAGGTGGCCTATGTTATGACAAGCTCTGAAAGTTAAATAGAGGATTTTATCTTGATTTTGGGGGTAATGGAGCCGCTGGCGTTTGTTGAGTATGACGATGATTGATAAAGGACCAGATTAAAATTATTTTCTTTCTTCCTACTGAAAGTCAAACTATGGTCATTTAATCAAATTTCTCTTAAGAACTATAATGCTGAAAACGGAACATGATCATTAACTGGTATTCCATAACTAGCTCAAATGATGTGTTGCTATCCAAGAAAAGTTCCCATTACTACCAAGCATCATCAACAAAGTTTAATTGCCTCACCTCTTCTACTCTGCACTGAAGCAACAGGAAAGAAAAGAGATAGGAAAAGATTAGGAATATAAAAAAGAGTTCACACACATCTTAAATATAAAATTAAAGACAGATTCTTTAAAAAAAATTAACCTAAAAGTAAAAACAGATGTTTAGTTTTCAGACAAATTTGTGTGTTATTCATGTAAAAAGAGTTAGTACTTTTCCTTTCCTCATCTAGTAAAACCACAGACCCTGACTACTCAATGTTTATTATGGGGTTTATTTTGGTGGAAAGGGAGTTATAAGAAGAGATGTGACTGTTTACCATTTTCATGGAGAAAGCAGAGCATTTAATCAACCTTTAAAATATACTAGATTGTATACAAGACATCTGAGAACTGTAGATGGGAAGAGATGACTTTTAAATGACATTTATTTCTTTAGTAAGTTTTCTTTAGAAAAGAATTATGAAGACATTTATGTCAGCCTCAAATTTCTCAAGTACTTCCCCCAGTAAAATGTTTATGCATACTTACTGATTTGATTCAAAGTCTCTTGGGGAATCCAACTCATATCAACATCATTTTGGTTCGATGTACCCATTTCTACTTTCTGGGCTGGTCTTTTTCTCTAAAAATACACAAATAATTTTAGGTATATCAGTACTTAAGTAAGATTTTATTACAATTATAATAACCAACAATAATTAAAGGTTAGATTTCTATTTTATTACAAGAATCTAAGAAATACTTAATAGTCTTCAATTTCAATTAAAGTAGAGCACGCAAAAAAAATTTTTTTTCATATAATTAAGATGTCACAAGGGGTCAGGTTATTATTAACTCAATATTTAAGTGATTTTCAAGGCTATAAGTATCTAGAAGAGAGCATATGCAATTTCTTACCTTCCTAGATTCTAGAAGCTGATGAAGCCCAACAACGACTAGTAGCCCAAGTCCAGCAAGGAACATATACATAAAGATTCTTATTTCAAGAAAGGGGGAAAAAAAAGCAGAAGGAATTACCATAAATGAAGATGATTGCTATTATAGTTTTGATACATGCCATAAATCCTCTAAATAACCTTATGAATAAGGAATGGAATTTTAAAGGATTCAATTAAATTAGGAGCCAGTTATGTAATACATACTGGCTGTGTGATCCTGGACAAATCCCTCAGTGTCCCCAGACATCCCCAACTGTCCAAACCTCTAAATTGCAAGAGTTTACAATCTGCATAGGCAGAGAGTTTCCCCATACAGGGAGTCATCTATACCAATGAAATCACAAGTCTGGTTTAAAAAAAAAAAGGGGCATTATAAGGACTTGGTAAATTATTTTATGCCATGTTTAGAAGTTATAAATGAATAAATAAATATAAATTACAATGTAAAGTGAAGAAAAGTACCTCACAAAACATGGCAAATTAAAGAAACCCATAGTAGAACAGCTGTGGTAGACATTGCCAATCATTATATGCATTCTCTGCTGAAATACTAAGCATTCTTAGAGATTAAGTCCCAAAACATTTTTCTATAGTAATATTACAAGGGGAAAACTCAGAGACTCAACTGAGCACTCTGAATTTGTCTATGCACACATGACATGCTGCCTCTACCATTTCAGGAATGACATGGCCACCTGAGAAACATATTTAGGAAGCAACAAATCTTAGAGTTTTACCCTAACTGCTCATCAGAAGAGGATGCATGGTGCAACAAAAAGATTACTGGATTCACTGTGGCTCTTCATTTACTACTAGGGTGACACTGGACAAGTCACTTCAATGTCACTTTTCTGCAACTCAGTTTATTCTTCTGTAAAATAATGAAGTTGGGCTAGATGACCTCCAAGATCCCTCCCAGCTTTAAATCTATAATCCTATCATCTATTTTATCACAACTTTCTCTTACGTTTCTCCATCCAGCCCATCTTCTCTTTCAATAATTGTAACTGTTTGATTGAAGACAGCATCTTGGAATACATTGCCCTACAAAAACACAAAAATTAGAAATTTGGTGAAATGATTAAAGTTTCAAAGAGATTTTAAAATCCACTTAACTCATGTTAGATGACCATTCAGCATTCTCATAACTGATGAGGCCAATATGTGTAGCCAGCAAGATCGATGCAAGCACATTTTTAAAGTATAAACCATTGGTTTAAAATTACCACCACTTGGCAAAGAATTGGAAATGGAGGGGATGCCCATCAATTGGGGAACGGTTAAACAAGTTGTGGTTTGACTGCGATGGAATGCTATTGTGCTACAAGAAATGATGAACAGGATGCTGTCAGAAAAACCTGGAAAGACTTACATGAACTGATGCAAAGTGAAATGAGTAGAAACAGGAGAACATTGTACACAGTAACAGCAATATTGTAAGATGATCAACTATGAATGACTTGTCTTGGATCACTGTATTACTGAGAACAGCTAACTCTATGAAAAAAACTATTCGTTCCCAGAGAAAGAAATGATGGGACTCTGAATACAGATCAAAGCATATTTTTTTTGCTTTATTTTTCTTGGATTTTTATGGGAGGTGTGTGTCTGTTTTCTCTTGCAGCATGAATAATATGGAAATACGTTTTGCATGCTACACATGTATAGCCTATATCAAACTGCTTGCCTTCTCAATGAGGGAGATGGGGAAGGAGAGAATTTAGAATTCAAAATTTTAAAAACAAATGTTAAAAATTGTTTTTACATGTAATTGAGGAAAAACAATATACTAATTAAAAAATAAAAATAAATTTAAAAATTAAATTAAATTAAATTACCACCACTGAAAATCACCACTACAATGTGGTATCTGTCCTCCATATCACTTACAATACAGATGTTTATATCACTGCTAACACTGCCTCTTTAGGAACCAAAGTAAAGGGAGAATGAAGGAATGGGAGGGGGACCACTAGTGAAAAGAAGAGATGCCAAATTAAAAACAAAAAAAAACTATGCCAGAACAACACTTTTATCAGATTTATTTCTTCCCCTTTTAGGCAGAGAGAAAAATAAAGAAGGGTTAGTAGCAGCAGACCGCTCTAGAAAGTGGGAAAGAAAATCCAAATTAATCTTCTAAATAGCAACAGATTAGAAACAAATTGCTTTGAAACAAATCATTAGAATAATGGATAATAGTAATAATAATAATAGATAACAGAATTATCCATTAGATAATAGAATAATGAGAATACAGGACAATAATAATCTTTAGTGGAAATAATGTTAGCCATATGAGAAACCTGGTTCTGTCACCAGGTTACACGCATCTAAAATCACTGTCCTTTCTAACAAGAATACCATCAAACCTTGCTTAACAGAATTGACTCAGGCAAAATTATGTTATAGGGGACTCATGGGTCTAGGACTAGCTATGGTCAACACCAACCATTTGATTCCTGATTTCCTCTCAGGCAACTGGGCAAATGATACTACTGTTGGATTTTGCTTATCATTTTATTAATATTACTAAAAAATGATACTAGTTGGGGTAACTTTATAGAGGGTATACTTCTACTTCCTTGTATTTAACTCATACTCAATTCAGAAACATAAAAGCTATTTAAATGTCTTTAAAAATCTATTAACAAAGATGATTTAATGACTACTTATCACTAAAACACTGTACCTAAAGGTTTTAATCTGACATTATCTGCAACAGTCCTCTATACTATACATAAAAGTATTTTCCAATCAGCAAAAGTCTCAAAGGAGAAAAAATATTTTTACATGATTATCTGTACTGGAGGTCTTTAAACTGGATAGAAACTGTATCTGTAGGTTGGATATCATGCTATTCTGTAACTTTATAGGTGAAAAGATAAGTGGCATTAAATTCTAAATGTCTCATTAAACACTGTAAGATACCTGTTTATTTTTAAAGGTTACACATTTTATTTGAAGGCAGGAAAAAAAGACCAACATATTCTGGAGGTTAACTTTGAAGAACCGAATTCTAGGATATCAGTTCTATTCTACTGCTTAACATATAATACACAACTAACGTGAACAAAAAGACAACAAGACTCGGTGCAGTGGACAGAGCCTGGGCTAGTCACTTAACCCTGATTGCCTCACCAAAAACAACAAAGAAAAAGACATCAAGAATTACATTGGGCCTCTTTGTTCCCAATAATTAAAATGAAACAAACTTTGTTGCTAAGACTATTTGTTCTAGAACACTAGAAATCATAATGTATAAACTCTGAGATAAGTAGAAGGCACAATGAATTGTAAAACAACCAAAAGGTAGGCAACCAGAGAAGAGGGAGCCTTGGATAATTTTCAAATTTGATAGTTAAGTCCCTAAACAATGAGTGGCCTATGATCCAGATTGATCATATATCAAGCAAAATGTCAACCCCCTCACCACTCCACTGGGTTGAAACTTTAAATAGAAAAAAAAAAGAATAAGCCGTCCTTACATTTAAATCTTTGTAGTTCAGATTGATGACTAGACCAAACGGACGTCCACCCATGGGCTCTGCAGGGATGAAAGAGTACTCAAATGTTGCCTGCCTCTGGGGTGGCACTACGGTGTTCAGGGGAAGAGCGGTGAAATTCTGGATATAAAACTGGTAATCCTGAGGATAGCGGAATGAGGCATCTAGAGATTCAACAATAAAGTCTTCTGTACCCTTGTTTGTAAAGCCTACCAGGAACTTCACAATGTTATTTGCTGGGAAATCTAAGAAAGAAAATTAAGGAAAGTTAGAAAGCTTTCAATAAGGCATAAAAATGATACCTAAACACACAATTCCAACCTTAAAAATTACATTTATCTACATTTATAGAAGTCAAATCTCAATTATGAATATGTGAACTGGAAGCTGCTGTAAACACCTAGTAGTAGGGTTATTATTTAGCAGTTGTATGGTCCACCTGAAGCACCCTAAGAACCCAAAGCTGATAGCTAAAAGAAACCAGTGATAACCTGGCTAAAAATGTCAACATAGCCACAGGAAATTAACTTGTGTTACCCCTATTTAGAGTAGATCCCCTGATGTTAGAGAACTGATAAAGGTGGTGAAGGAACACTGGACTCTAGATGTCAGGAGACCTTCATTCGAATCTCATCTCTAACCTGTGGTCTATGACAAGGGAGAAGTCACTTCATTCTGCTGAGCTTTAGTTTCCTCATCTATAAATGGAAATAACAGCCCCTCTCCTCAAAGAGTTGTGAGGATCCAATGAGCTTAACCTCTCTGAAACACAATTCCCTCACCTGTAAAATGGGGAGAATCCCTAATTACCTCACAGATATAAGAATCACATGAGATAATGTAACTAAAGTGTTTTGCAAACTTAGAATTATATAAATGTCAGTTATTACACCTAGAGGGTTGGACTGGATTTTGTTGGGAATCACTTGGCTTTACATGCTTTATAAGCCAAATGCCTTGTATTACCTTGTCTCCGTTGGGACAATAACTTGCTAATAAGATTGTTTTGTTATTATTCTGAACAATACTGAGAGCCACAAGGATCTAACTAATAGCTCACATTTCTAATAGCTCATATTTCTATAGATGACCTGCACTGTTAAGAGTTTCTACCCTGGGAAGTTCCTTATACTGATGAAATCATGAGTCAAGTCCTCATACCTACCTGTAGTACTTTAAAGTTTCCAAAGCACTTTTCCCTACCCTATTGTGAGTGAACCTAAAGAGACTCATTTTGTTAATGAAGAAACTAAGGCTCAAAGCAGTTCAATGTGTTGTCCAAATTCAGAGAGTTATTAAGAGTCAGAGCCAAGATTCAAATTCAGCTATTCTAATTCTAAGTCTTATGTTCTTTCCATGACAACTCTGTTAAATAGGTAACATAAAAGGGCACGGAAAGAATACTGAGCTATAATAATCAAAAGTACTATCAATACCACGAATGATAAAAATGCAAGCAAAGTAAGAGAAAAGTTACAAAATGAGAGGGGAAAACCATATCCTTTCTTCAAATTAAAATTCTTACAATCAGAAGAAGCAAAAAGTACATCACTATGAAAAAGTTTTCAGAAATCCATGAAAAACAAGTACTTAAAAAAAACCTTTTATCTCTTTAAGACCCTTTACAATTTTCACTCATGAAGCAATGATCCAATTGACAGCTGACTGCAAAATTAATATTTCATTAATAGTTTACATAAAAAATATTATGCAATATTGTAGTACAACGGTTTGAAAATTTCTGAAGACACAAGCTTTGAAAATACTCACTGATCCACGGACATTTAATTCCTAGGTCAAAGAGATTTTTCTGTGTTTTTTCCCCGTTTATTTTTCCTTTTCAAGTTCCACATGTCATTCTTTAAACAGATACGATGGTTTGTAAAGAGAACATCCACTATGCCAATTCCAGGATATAACTGTTTTGAAGAGGAATACGTGCAAAATACTTAAGCACCATTCCAAACCTTTTCCCCTTCTTCAAAGTCTTTCTACATCCAGCTTTGTTCCCTGCTTACTGAGGATTACTGAGGAACAGTTTTACTTGTAGTGCTGAAAAATGTTTATTTTACCTTCTCCTTTTACAAATAAGATAGTTGTGTCTGCACTTGGTGAGGCTTCAGGTTCACCAGAGAGGTCCTCTTCTTTTTCTTCTGCCTAACAATATTAAAAGGGGATATATTAATACAAGAAAAAAGTCATTATTGCTGGCAGTGGGTCTACCTGACTTTCATGTTATCATTTACAGAACAATAAGGCAGTGAATAGGTACATCAGATTGGCTGTAACCCTTTCTCACCATTTTCAGCTTCCTTTTCTGTGTTATCTTTGCCATTAAAATGTAAACTCCTGAAGGGCACAGATTGCCTTTCTTTTTGCTTGTATTTGTATTTCCATGGATTGCCTAGCACAAAGTAAGCACTTAATAAATTCTTGGAGACAGAAGACAGCAGAAACTTTAAAAGAACTATAGATTTCAAAAGATGAAGAAGTTATTAGGGGAATGCTCCAAGTATGAAAGACAGCTTATGAAAAAGCACAGAGTATGTTACAAGTAGGATAGTTTGGCTAGAACACAGAATATGTGAGGCAGAGTACCGTGAAGTAAACCTAGAAAGATGGGTGAAAGCCATATTGTGAAGGTCTCTAAATTTCTTTTTTACCCTAAAGGCAAGAGCCACTGAAACTTCCTGAGCAGTAGAAAGACCTTGTTGAGCCTATTTTTTTAGGAATATTAATCTGGCAGGTGTGTGAAAGACAAAACAGAAAAACTGAAAGCAGTGAAACCAATAAAACTCTAGATAAGCAATCTGAGGCACAGAGAAGTGATTTATCCTGGGTCATACAGCTAGTGAATATCTGAGATGATATGAACCCAGATTTTCCTAATTCAAAGTCCAATACTCTATTCACAACGCTATGTTGTCTCATTCAACTGTATGAAGTCTGTTTCCTCATCTCTAAAAAGACAAATGGCTTAGACAATTTCTAAGGTCCATCCAATTTTAATCTACATTCATACATGATACACACACAAGTAACTTACATAAAATAACATACATAATAAGACATGTAGTACATAATCAAAGTGCTTTGGGAAATATGATGGGGGGCAAGGAAAACATAGATTTGGTGGAGTAAGGAGGGAAAGATTAGAGAAGACATAATAGATGGTGATAACTGAGTTTTTTTTAAACGATGAGTAGGAATTCCAAAGGTGGAAGTCTGCCTAACTTCAAGTTTAACACTCAAACCTCTACCTTCCATTGCTTCTTAGTGGTAGAGCAATGTTATTATTAAAAGCATTATAAAATGGACAGAGTACTGGCTTGGAGTCCAAAAGAACTGGGTTTGAAGTCTCATCTCTAGCACTTACTGTTTATATACAGATTATTTAACTTTCACACACCTCAAGCAAATCCGTAGGATTTACCTATTAATTCACATATTAGCTATCTTGACGAAATCAAAGCCCATCCGTCAATTTGGGCATTACAAGCTTACTTTATATACTGTTTCACAGTTAAAGTACACGAGGACCATAGTTATCCTTTCCACATTTTGACTTTCCCCATTGTGGTTTCAATATATCGTGGACTGGCATAAGAAATTAAATGGGAATTTCTGGGGAGTTTTGCAGAAGCTGCAGATGACATGAAAAAAGAAACTCAGAAATGTAGGATTGTTATAAAAAAAAGGCATTCTAGTAGATTCTGGCATCATATGAGAAAAGGCTAAGTCCTCATATGATTTCCTACTGGAATAAGTGAAGGTTCTAGCCCTACAGATTTTACAGATTGTGGGGGTGCTGTGCCCCATAACCCCTCAATGTGGAAGGAGTAACTGTACACATTTCTTCAGTTGAGGGAAAGAAAAGATCTCAAAGTTAGGGTGGTTAAAGTGAGTTGTACATCCTCTATAAGAGGACAAGGAAATCAATCACCTACCAAGGGGTTCCTCCTTCTGTTCTACTTGAGAAAAAAGGAAAACAAATCTTCATAAAAGACTATTTCAATACACTATTCGTAAATTACTGTGACTGATTCCCTTTCTATCCTCACCTCAAGTTACCCACCAGAAATTGGTATTATTATCTTTTAAAATTTAAAATAGCACACTTTTTATTACCAGTACCAATGAAGAAATGAATGGATTGAGTTAACACAAATAACCTATCCAATTAGATTGGGGAATGCAAAATAAGAGTCTTAAAAAACATACAAATGAGTAACTAAGAATCGGAAATCAAAGGGATGCTCATCAATTGGGGAATGGCTAAACAAACTGTGGTATATGACTGCAATGAAATATTATTGTGCTATAAGAAATAAGCAGGATGATTTCAGAAAAACCAGTAAACACAATGAACTGATGCACAGTGAATTGAACAGAACCAGAACATTGTACACAGTACCAACAATATTGTTTGATAAAGAACTGTGAATGACTTAGTTATTCTCAGCAATAATGATCTTAGCTAATCCCAAAGGACTAATGATGAAGCACACTATGCGCCTCCAGAGAAAGAACTCATATTGATTGAATACAGATTGAAGTATGATATTTTTCACTTTTTTTTTCTTTTATTTGAGTCTTCTTGTACAAAATGACAAATATGGAAATGATTTACATAACTGCACATGTATAACCCATATCTGACTGCTTACCGTCTCAGGGAGGGTAGAAAGCGATAGAATTTGGAACTCAAAACTTTAAATAAAAATGTAAAAGAAAAAACCCCAAACCCAAAAATCCCCCAAAGAAATGCAGCATAAATGAGCATATTAAGGGCCAATGAAAGCAATGAAGAATCAAGTAGGATAATTCATAGCTGGATCCTTGAAAGATGTAAGTTTTAGGAAGAAGGCATGTGGGTGGGTTAAAGAAGGGAATTCTAGGCAAGAAGGCTGTAATTAGTAAGCTATTTACTTCCAAGTGAAGCAAAAGAGTGGCTTGACCAAGAAGGTAAAATTCAAGTAACAATAAATGAAATCAGTGGGATATAAATAGGAAGAGAGAAAAAAGTTTTGTTAGGATGGGAGCCAGTGTAGATCCTTCAACCAAATCATGAAGTCGAGAAACACTGTAGGTTCAAGATTCATGGAATGAGAACGATGTTTGAATAAGATTAATCTGGCAGTTCTACATGAATTATTTCATGCTATTCTTCTTTTAAAAAGTCGATTGCTTTTGTTTTTATATCAGTTATTTCTGGATATACCAACCCCCTTCTTTCTTACCTAACAAAGAAAGGTGGTCTAGCAAAAACAAATGCTATAGAGACTACATCTGATAGTGTGTTTCTGTAACTCCCCCACCCTTCTCTTGAGAGGAGGGAGACGTGTTATATTAACTGCTCTTTCAAAATCAAGATTGGTTATTACAGTTACTCAGGATTTGGCCTCCTTTAAGTGTTCTTTTAATTTGTTATTCCAGTCTCTGTGCTGCTTCTTGACTTCAGAGGGATATGAGGGGGAAAGGGGAACCAGATCAGGATACCTCATTATAGCAAGGATATTAATAAACTGGAGATCACATAGAGAACAAATAGAATAGTAAAGAGTCTTGAATGCATATCCCCCATCAGTTAAAGGAAATGGGGACATTTGGCATGGAGAAGACTGGGGGAGGAAGCAATACATGGGAGAGCTCATAAAATACTTGAAAGGCTGTCCTGTAGAAGACATATTAGATTTGTTCTATTGTTTGACTTCTTTCCAGAGGACAAAACTAGTAACACTGAACAGAAGTTGCAAAGAGGCAAATTTAGGCTGCATGTAAAGGAAATCTTGGGCATTCTGTTTATTTAGGGAGGTCAAAGGATCATAGATCTAAAACTGGAACTAAAAGGGACCACTGAAGCTCTCTAGTCTAACCTTCTCATTTTACAGATGAAGCCCAGAGAGGTTAAGTGACTTGACCCTGGTCATACAGGATCCTCTGACTCCAGAGCCAGTTGGTAGGTTCCTCTTTACTAGAAGTATCTAAGAAAACATATGCAGGCTGACCACTCAATGACTGGGGATCCCTTTGACTAGATGACTCCTGAGGTTCTCTTTCTGACTTTGAAAAATTCTGTGACTACAGTGAGAAGTGAAGAGAAATAAATTATCACCTACAAGGAGAAAAGGAGGCACAGTGATTTTGAGTTCTCCCCTATGGTTCTTTCTATTACAAATCTGTCTACTGCAGGAGAATCCAAATCTACCTAGAACCCCCACTACTACAAATGACAAGATGATTTCTAAGGTCTCCCTCAATTTCAAATTTGGTCAAAGTAAGATATTGTTTTACAACCTACATAATTAGATTCACTTGACCTCATAAAATTATGAGCTGATATAACAAATTTATAACAAGTTTTATCAAGTGCTTCCCAAGAAATCATATGCTCAAGATGTCAAACATAATCCATCACCAACCAAATCTGTGGGTTCATCTTCTTCTATTTCTGCTTCATCATCTTCATCTTCAATTATTGTATCTTCTAGTGCTTCTTCATCCTCTGTAGCATCTTGGGCCACAGCTACTGACCCTAACAATGTAAACAGAAAGTGTTTGTAACAACTGAACCTAAGGGCAAGTAAGTCAATCCTGATGGTTAAAATCATAATCACACAAATATCGTTTACAAGACATATATCCATACATGCAAAACAGTACAACACTCAGAATTTGATACCATATTGTTTGGAAAAATCGCATTAATAAATAAATGAGCACAGATGCATGTAAAACATGAAAAATACAGGGAAGACATAGCAAAGCAAGTCAACAGAAAAAAAGATTTATTTGAATTTCTGCTTGTTTTGAGTTTCAATGTAAAGTTCCAAGATACTTAAATTAGAAAATGAGGGAAATAGGTTAAAGTCTAGAAAAAAACAAAAGTAAAACTATATTGCTTTTCTATGTAAGCAATTTAATACAAAGAAACCTCTAAACTGGTTTAAATATTTTCTAAAACAGACCCTGAACATAATTTCTAGGCCACCAGTACATATATCTACCAATGATTTGTAGAAAAAATGATGATGTGGCAATTCAGTTTAAAAAATATAGGCAAGGGAACAAATACACATGCTGTAATGCCCAGGAAAAAAAGATTATATGTAGACTCCTACATCTTGAATTTGGCTTCTACTTAAATGTTGGTGACATTCATAAACTTTGCAAAAAAGAAAGAACACTATACTACGAAATAAAGAACTGCAATTTTCTAAACTAGGGTGTAAGCGATAACTATATGACACAGTAATTTAAAATGAAGCACCTCTAAATTTGACTTTTTATACAAAATGGCCTCTAATCATTCATTTCAGTTTAACTTAGATTTTAAACTCTCTCTATATATATATATTTACTAATACAACAGCATTATTTTGATAACAATTTTAGTGACATTTACTTTGTCCTAAACATTCTTGGTTGCAAAAAATTAAAAAAAGATATATCCTTTAAAATAGAAGATGTTTAAGCAATATAACCCCATGGGATGGAGGTAATCCAAATATGAATCCAATGTCAATTTTTGTAGAAAGATTAAAACCACAAAATAAAAATGGTCAAAATCAGAATTTTTAAAAATTAAGTTATCTTTTTTTCTTACAATCTACAGCTGAATTAACTTTTCCTACAAGATGTTCTTTCCATACACTGAGTCAAAATCTGTCAATCTATTTTATTTTCTTTACAAAACATAAGTTCATTGGACTATGCTATTAAAATTAATCAAAACATTCTTTTGGAATTTGATTTTTAGAGTTGTAAAGAACCTCAGAGATCACCTAGTTTAATCTCCTCTTTTCACAGATGAAACTGAAAGTGAAAAGTGAAGGGACTTTGTCCATAGTCATACAGAAAATTAGAAGCTGAGCTGGGATAAAGAAACCAAGTTTCAGGATGCTCTTTCCACTACATCAAGCTATAGCTACTTCATTCGCTCTCATTCTCCTTTTTTGCCCTCTCTTCATTTCTTTGAATACTGTAGCAGGCAATACCATTAGGGAATTTCTTTCACATCCTCTTAGAAGTTTTAGAATCAAGGCTCTCTATCTAAATTAAGCCTAAGTAAGGCCAGTGGCCCAGAAATTGTTTTTATATGAAATTTAAAGTGATTAAGAGCTCAGGGTTACACAACCTGTCTAACATAACAACACAGCTGAACACTGCTCTGGGGGCAAGAGGAAAAAAAAATCTTTTCTTGAGATTAGGGGACTAATTAAGTAAGGTATGTTACAAGGAAGGTTAAGATTCCCAGGAAAAAGGACAAGCTACCAAAAAGAGGTGCTATGCCAGGCTGGGTGCAGGGAAACATGGATTCCGAGAAATGAATGAAGCAAGGCCCCCTACAGAAGATAATGACACGTCAGCCCAGAGCCCGGCGCCGAGTGCTCGTGGGGGCGGGGGAGAGTGGTTGGTGGAGGCACGGGCAGCGGCCACTGCAGCTCCGCTCCACCGCCCTGGGGATGCCCGAGGTCCCGGAACGCACGGCCAAGGGGTGGCAACGCAGGTCAGAGCGCCGGGGCACGGGGCAACGTCACCCGGCCTGGCCGGGAGAGAGCGCGCGGCCCCCTAGGGATCCGCACGGGAAGGGGTCGGGAAAGCCCCGCTCCTGGGGGCCTCCTCGTGCACCCAGGACTCCCCGCCCTGCCCGCCACGCCCCCAATCCCCGGGAGCGGCGGAGGAAAGGGAGAGGTCCGGAGAGGAGTAAGGACCAGAGGGCGCGCGACCCCCGCGAGCCGCCGCCACTGCCTCCCACCGCCCCCTACCACCAAACTTGGCAAGCGCTGCAGCCGTTCCCCGCCTTAATCCTCCCACTCCCCTCTCGCCGTACCTCCGGGGCCGCCCCCAAGCAGTAGCGCGGTGGGGAAGACGAGCAGCACGATCAGGATCAACCGGGAGAGGAATCTCATGGTGCGGCCAGCAGGCTTCCTAGCCTCCACAGGCTCTTACGGCGGCTCCGCGGTAATGGCGATACTCCTCATCCGGGCTACGAAGTGGGCGGGGCACGCACACGTAAACGGGACGTGGCCCCACCTCCCTCGTCGTTAGCTGCGCTGTGAACGTGGCTCAGTCCGCGGCCAGGGAAGCCCGAGGACTGGGGCTGGGAAGGGGAGGAGCGGGATGGCGTGGTAAGGGACAGTCACGTGACAACGCCGCTGTGCTCTTCCCAGGGAAAGTGACGTCTTCCTTCCTTCAGGTGAGTTTCCCTGCTCCTCGATGTACCTTGTGTGGCATTGTCCTCCATTTTCTACTGGGTCTTTGAGAGTCTATAGGGAAGGTGAACCGGGCTTTTTTACCTGGCAGTCTGTTGTGATTTGTAAACTTCCATAGCTTGGGTTATAGCTATTAGTTCAATAACACTTGATTAAGCACCCAGTGTGTCCAAAGCCCTGTGCTGGACTGTGGGAGCGTACAAAGTTTATCGAAAATATTGCTGTATCTTCTTGAAGCTTTTTAAAAAGTATCAGAGGGATGGTGGTGATGATGGTGATGATGATGATGATGATGAAAAAGATGATGATGATGATAGTACTGATGCTGCTTGGGGTGCTAGGAACCCCAAAATGCAAGGGTACGGGGTGGGTCTGCCTTGAAAGAATTCCACCACTCAAGCCTTTTTACAATCAGAGTTTTATTATACACTAATTGGGCAGGTGAGATTCTAAGAATCAGCAGAATTTAATGGGGGTAAGATTGTTACTTTTGTACAGAAAAATGCTGAGAAAATATAGATGGGATCAAGGAATGGGACATAGCCTGGGATGGGCCAGGTGCAGATTATGAAAGTTCGGGCTAGGTTGGAGGGCCGCAGTGAAAGGACTGTTGAAAGAATTATGCTGGGATGAGCCTGATGCATCAGTGAGGCCTGGCTGAAATATGGGAGAAAGTTCAAGGACTGATGATCTAGATTCCATACACCATCATTATCAATGATTCTGAATCGTTGTTGAAGCTCTGAATGAAGGTTTCATTTCTGACCTATCCTATTGGTGTCATTTAACCTGGACTAGTCATTCTTTGTGTTCTGGCAATTGAACTTCATTGCTAGTGGAAGGAGTGTCCAGGTGAGAGCCCAGAAAGGACTCATCTTAGAGTGAAATCACAGGTCAAGTCCCTAGTCCTAATATTAATCTTGAACACTTTAAGGTTTAGAAATTGCTTTACACATATTACCAGATGGTACAACAACCAGTAGATAATAAGCTTCTTTGTGGTAGAGATTTGTTTCTTTTTTTGACCTAGCACTGGGCCTTGCACATAATATGCACTTAATGTTTACTGAATAATACAAAATGTATCAATGGCCCAGTCTGTTCTGGATCTTCTAGAACTTCCATTCTAGAGGAATGTTCAAATAGTATATTATCTCTCTGACTTTGTCCCCATGCAGTTAAAAAATGGGCAATTTTAAAGTTAACTTGGTGCTAACATGCAGGCAAGTAACATCGTTAATATAAGACAGAAATTAAGAGTAAAGCAACAGGAAACAATCTCAACACATTTTCAGTAAGAACCATTTCAATTTCCTTTTCCTTCCCTCTCTTCACAAAGTAGTTTAGGAAACAAAACTCATTAGAGAAGACATGGGCCAAGACTCTCTGAAACTGAAAGAAAGGGTTCAAGTCTTTTTTTTTTCTTTTCTTTTTGGTGAGGCAGTTGGAGTTAAGTGACTTGCCCATGATCGCACAGCTAGTAAGTATCAGGTGTTCAAGGTCAGATTTGAACTCAGATCCTTCTGACTTCCAGGCTGGAGCTCTATCTTTTGCACCATCTAGCTGCCCCAGTGCTCAGGTCTTTGAAAAGGCTGGAAACTACTCCTAGTGGTCTCTGATGCCCACTGCTTATCACCTGTCTAACCATTCCCATTCCTATTGTATGGAAGAAATAATTCCTTTCTGATTTCAATGTAGAAATTACCCAGGTTTTATTATGTGTAAGCATAGTTTCAGACCAAAAACAACAAGCCTGAACAAAGATTAAGGTTCTAATAAGTTCTCTTATAGAAAAAATTTTGTTAGTGTGACATAGAAATAATTTCAGTGTCATAAAAATCGAACAACTTGGTTAAACAGTCATAATCTCATGCATAAACAAACCTAGTTAAACTAAGTCAAGTTACAGATTAAATTACATTTAGAATGTTCACAAATAGGTTGATTGATGGGGAAGATTTATATGTTGTCAAGAAATCCCTCATCTATTGATGGAGTTTAGGGGTTCAGGGGTCCTGGGACCCCAAAATCACAATACGTGGGTCCTACATGAAAGAATTTGACCCAAGCCTTCTTTCAGCCAAAGACAAGGTTTACTAGAACATCCATAATATTGGGCAGACTCTTAAGGAGTCTGAACATTAGTAAGCTATTGGCTAGAATCCCAGCAGTGGCTAAATTATAAGAATCTAAGCAGTGGCTAGATTTTAAGAATCAGAGCCTTTTAATGGAGACAGGGTGGACCTTATATACAGAAAGACTATGGGAGGGACCTGAGTGGCCAGTAAGCTGGGGTGAAAAGAATTCCTGGACCTGGACCTCTTGGCCAAGGGAGAATGAGCCTAGCTAAGATTAAGGGTGGGAAATGGCCAGGGGCCATAGGGAGGTAAAACAATGAAGGGGAGATTGGGTGTAGCCACAATGAAAGGCCAGTTGATGGGATTATAGCCTCAGGGGAACTCCAGAGATTTGGTCATGGGAAAGTCCAAGATTTTTCCTTTCTGGGGCCCAGATCCCAACCCCATCACTATCAACCCCAACTCCTACCCTTCTTCTCTTACTCCTGTTCCTTTCCTATTTTCCTATATGGTAAGATAGATTTCTATACTTCCCCCCACCTCCCCCATCTTCCCCTTCACTGTAAAAACTCCTTTGCAACTCTTTTATGTCAGATAATTTACCCCATTTTGTCTCTCCCTTTCCCCTTCTCCCAGTTCATTTCTCTTTCTCACCCCTTAATTTTATTTTTTCAGATACCCCATCATATTCAGCTCACACCCATGACCTCTGTCTGTGTATATTCTAACTGCCCTAATAATGATAACGTTCTTAGGAGTTACTAGTATCATCTTCCCGCATAGGAATGTAAACAGTTTAACTGTATTGAATCCCTTATTATTTTCTTTCCTGTTTATCACTTTTTGCTTCTCTTGAGTCTTGTATTTGAAAGTCAGATTTTCTTTTCAGCTTTGGTGTTTTGATCAGAAATGCTTGAAAGTCCTCCATTGAATGTCTTTTTTTTTTCTCTGAAGGATTATACTCAATTTTGGCAGGTAGGTTATTCTTGCTTGTAATCCTAGCTCTTTTGCCCTCTGGAATGTCATATTCCAAGCCCTCTGATTTTTTAATGTAGAAGCAGCTAAATCTTGTATTATCCTTATTGTGGCTTCATGACTGCAGGGCCCAAATGACAGTATAAAACATCTTTAGCTCTGTTTGGATTTTAGATAACTCAGTTTTCCAACCATGTAGTATCAAATCCACCTCATAGCCAGACTCAGGAATAGCCAGGCGGGTAACATTCCTTTTCAAAGGAACATAATGGGGAAACTGAGCCAGGAGGATCCCATCTTAGACTGAAGTTAAAATTGTCCTCTCAGCTTTTCCCAATGCTGACTTCCCACCAGTATCACATTCTCTGAGTAGTTTGAGGCATTTCTCTTAGATAGTAGATTATATTATTGATTATTGGTGGATTATGACCCACTCGACAACTCAAAATAAAATCCTATGAGCTTTTACCTCACACAGCAAGTTTCACTAATCACAATTTAGGAAAAACTTTTCCAGCGTTTACATCTCAAATTTAAATTTGTCCTGGTATAAAAAGCCAATCATTGGAGATTATTATTCCTATATAATTGCAAATTCTTAGCAAGACAAAACCCAAACAAGCTTTTTGGCAAGTTTATACATTAAAATAACCAACAATAGCCAAATTATTTTAGTGGTAACCAAATTATGAAAAGTTGCTTGACATAACTGATACAAAAAGTTCACCAATTTGAAACTTGAAACAAATCCATTTCCAAATTACTTCACACAGAGAATCAACATCTCATCATTAATAGTAAAACTACAACTTTAAAAAGAGCACATTTACCCAAGTTCAGAGGCCAGAAGAAGAACTTCTTTACCTTAAGCAGGATGTGCTGAACCTGGATGATGCTTCCAGGCAAAGGTTGCCCTAGAGCCCAAGGCTATTGCCAGAGGGACCCACGCTGTAGCTGCTGCCCCTCCCCCCTCCTTCCTTTCCCAGGTGGGGAAGGGAGAAATCAAAGGTGAAGGGTAAAGGGTGAAACTCTTTTCTCCTGTGAGAGGGGTTAACAGATACCCTGTTGACTCAAGGGTTGACTCAAGTGACCAGGGTTGTAAAGAGGTGTTTCAAAAACCTCCAGAATCTGCCAAGATATTTTTAGCTGTTCTAACTTTTCCCTGTGGTGTAGAGGGAAGGCAGTAAGTCAGCCTCAGGGAATGAAAAAACAATTGCAGTTTTTCCGAATTCCCTAGTGCCAAGAGAATTAACAGAATTGGGCATACACTTCTAGATAGGGCATCCATCCTTGTCCTCTCTACTGCAGAAGGTGTATACCCGGGTCCATGGTCTCGAACTGACCTAGTGGACCGGGAGCCTGAGAGCATCAGGCCAAGTGCAAGACAGCCTCCTAACTGTCTGCCTGAAAAGCATCTCCAAGCCTTGGTGCTTGAAGAGTGACCCCAAATGCAGAGCAAAAAAAGGGGCTGGGGGGGAGGCTTACATACCTTTCAGTCTTAGCTGGAGAAGAACTTGGGGTTAGGCAGTTTCCGGTATGGGCTACCAACATGATGAGGTTTCGAGGTTTAGGGGTGCTGGGACCCCAAAATCACAATATACGGATCCTACCCAAAAGAATTTGACCCAAGCCTTCTTTCAGCCAAAGACAAGGTTTATTAGAACATCTGTCATATTGGGCAGACTCTTAAGGAGTTTGAACAATTAGTAAGCTGTTGGCTAGATTATAAGAATCTAAGCAGTGGGTA